CAAGTTGTTGATGCTGATTATATCTTAATTAGGCATTCTTTAATAATTTAATTTAAATTGAAATAAATCAGATTCAATTGTCTGAACTGATGATTAATAAGTCTGACAAAATGAAGGATAACAATATAATTACATTTCAAATCCTTGATATTTTAATATCGAATCCATTTCAATCTTTCTTCATTTCTAGATATTTCACCAGGACCATGGGTATTGATTGGTCACCGTTTATTCAAACTATGGCGTGTGATATGAGTGATAAAGACATTTTCTCAAATTGTATTACAGCGATTTGTGGTAAACAGAATAATGTACAAAGAATGATCTTTTATTCTACGTCAAATCACAACTAGTAAATCCTATAATATGTCACACAATCTTATGTGAAATTGGCATATAAATCAATTTTTCTGCAACAGTTTATTATTAATAACTGAATTGTTATTTACTAGGGTCACATTATTTAATGATTTGAAATAAATTCTATTTTTGTGGAATTCTGGACCAGGTTTCATCAACCTAGGTTTGTGTTTTTTGTGTGTGTGTTGAAGTTTTAAATGTTTTTAAAGGTTTTGCTCGGCATGCAGAATTCTTCGAAATTGATTTGTATGTTTTCTGGAGTTTTCCAAATAAGATATCTATCTGTATTAGACTTGATACAAGATTCATTTCTCATTTTAAGATTAACAGCCTCGTCAAACGTTTTTTTGCATAATACCTCCGATAAGTCACATAAAGAGAAAATGACTTTCCATGAAGTATTTCCCATAAAAATATATGACAGTACAATGTGGTAAACAGGATTTTACCTCAAGTGATGAGTAGGCCTATACATGATAACTGTTGAATCTTAAAGTAATGAACAATCGTTTACGAAAACTTGGAAAACCAATAAGCATATTTTTACTGAAGCATTTTTAAGTTTCATTTGAAATAATACAAACTCATAATTGGTCTCAATATAGTCTGCTGTGAAATTAACCATTCATCAGTTTACAGTTTATTCTTATTTTTTTTAGTGAATTTAGGCAACATTAGCTGATATGTTAGCGCTAATAGAGTACATTAAATTTACAGTCATGTAGCAGTTGAGCATAATTAAAGATACAAATAAAGTTCTTATATTGTAAGCTTTTCATACTACTCCATTCCACCATTCAGAATTTCAATTTGCAACAACATACATGGTGTTCATAAAGTCACTTCAAAAAAGTATTGATGAATGTTAGGGATAAATTATTCAAATTGTAAATGGAGTTTATGGCCAGCATATATTACGATTGGTAAAACAAAAATGTTTAAAAAAATTCAGAGGTTATACTAAAATTCTTTGCTAGGTCATTCCTGTAAATGTAATATCATCACAGAAACTCACAGACATTTTAATAAGGTCAACCACACTTGATACGAATGGGAGGAAGCATAAAGGAAGTCATGATTCGCTATTGTATATGACTAGACGTGGAGGATATTTCCTGCTGTCACCAAAGTTCAAAAATGGTGAATAATTTTAAATCTCTGTCAAAATTATAAGTTGCCTAAAGAAGATTCGGGCATCGCAAGCTTGGCATTGGCTACAAGTACAATCTACAAGTAGTGCGATATCCTAAAAAAACATTACCTAATCATGAATGGTCAAAACTTAAAATATTTGTTATTTGAGAAGAAAAAATGTTTAAAAAATGATTGAATGAACGAAACAATTTAGCTACGGCCACTATTCATCTACTGACATCCTAATACCATCATTGCATATTGTACCGGTAGTTGTTAACTTTTAAAAAAAAAAAAACAGCTTGAAAGTTGATTTTATAATAGTGTGAATGACTTTCAAAACATGAAAATATGAGATTTATATATATTTCGAAACGAATTAATGAAGTGGTTTGGCCGGAATATGGGAATATGCATCCACAATGCTCAATAAGAAATTTATGTGAAGGTAGGAAGATACAACATAGTGTACTTGGAATCTGAAAATGGATACGAATTTGCCATACATGTGATATTAAGCACGTATCACTAAGCTATTTTAAGTATATGTATGGAGGTTATTAAATAAAGTAATTTCCGTTTTTCATACTTATGAAATTGAGCATCAGACACAAATTTAGATATATGTGTGTTACTGTGTTTATTATCTCAGTTTCACTCTACACTCCACTTCATGGCAGCTCCTGCCACGAACGAACCGCGGCAGCTCCTGCCATGGTTTTATAGCGCTGTTCAGTATTAACGGTATATTCACAAATTAATGTACCAGATTTTAATTGATCACCCGTAATTATATCTACTTGAATCCTAAGCCCAAATCCATCAAAACTGTATCCATAAGAAATACGTTCCAACTTACTCAATATTTGTCACCATAAGGGACAGCCCTGTCTTTACGGCCCACCTGCCGTGGTTACGGCAGCAAAATTTTACCTGCCATTGGTTTTCAATTTGCTGCCGCGGTGACAGCAGCTCGTCATTGGTTTATGGCAGCTAAAAAACCATAGGTTTGGCCGTAGCGGCCATGGTATGGAAATATCGCCATGGTTTTGCAGCAGCTGCAGACGCCACAGAATACTTAAAACTGCACTTGAGAAATGGAGCACCAATTGCAAAATTTGATAGGCTACATATAAGTATGCTGAACTTATTTGGCTTCTTGTATTCATAGGGAATTAAGCATGAAACCATATTTATGCTAAATATATATACATGTATTTATGCTAATTAAAGTCATTTCAATTGTTCTATTACTGCAGAATTTAGTACTAAATGCAATTTTCGATATATGTATGTAATATAGCCTGAAAGCATTGGAAAAATTCATTCCAGCTCTTCTATACATCAGGTATGATTATGAATCCAAATTTTCAATGCATGTATCGGTATATAGGCTAAACAAAGTCATTCTGGTTTTTCTATCTTTTCGAAATTGAGTACGAAGCACAATTTTCAATACATGAATATATGCTGAATAAAGTCCTTTTGAGTGTTTCCATTATTGGGGAATCAGATATAAAAGCACTAAATTACATCATTTTGTTTTATCTACACATGAAAAATAGAGAAGAATAACAACTTTTGATGAATGTGGGATGTTATTAATAAACAATGTCATTTCGGTTATGAAAGGTGTAATGCCTTCCCGTATCTCTAGCAAACAGCAGTCATGCTATGAATGCTCATTCAGGTATAAATTTCTTTAATTCTACATTAGAATCCCCGAGGGATCACGAGACCAGCATACCTGATAGGCATGCATAATAGATACCGTGATAATAGATTGCTCACCCATCTGTTACAAGCTTTTATTATTGAAACAAGAATAATATGGCTTCTGAAAACCATCAATGTGGCGTAACTAAATATCTGAATAGCAATAATAATAATAATATGGCAGTACCATATTATTACTAACATATTTACATTTTGAACAAACCTTTGAAATTAATTCGGAAAAATTAACACAACAGAATCCGCATCACACTTTTAAATGTTAATGAAGAATTGAAAAAAAAAAAAAATTGCAAACTGATTTAAAAATTGAAAGCCAGGAGTCATTTCAAAAATTAAGAAGTTGGAGATAGATTACATTCTGATGCAAATAGGCCTCGGATCCTTTTTTGTATAGCCTTCGAATATAATTATGATTTATGAATACTCATTCCATTCTATATTTTTAATCCAGTTTACCCTAATTGCTTTACTGATTGGATTTGGCGAAACTGACGAAATACAAAAAATACCTAAAATCAATACACAATTTCAGAGCCAAGACCTGGCTCACCCCATTTGATTGAAATCAATAACCAGTTTAGAATAACAAAAGCGTTTTTAATGAATACTGGACTCTAATAAGTACTGGTGTAAATTTGGCTAGCGAATGGTAAATATTTAATATCAAAATACAATTGTAGGTTGGGCAAAGTAAAAATCTAGATCTTGGTGAAAATTTTAAACAAATTCAGTCCAGGGAAACACAATAAGAAACTGTAATACCATTTTTCAAATAAAAATATTACATGACTCTTACAATAATATTAAGTATCGAGCAAAGAAATCAGCAGTTTACACTAATAAATTGAAGAAGGAAGTATTAGTCAAAACGAATTGAGCCAGTTTGAATGAGATAAGCAAAATTAAAAATGATGGGATCTTTAAAAATGCATTTTCAACAGCCGAATCAAAGCCGAACATAATGCGTTTTTCTATCTGCCTTCACAAGATGTTGTGTATATTCTGTGATATTTATAGTCTATGTAACATTCACGGTAGCATATAAATACACTTTACATTCTAAAAAAATGTTCTAAATGTAACACCAACTTTCATAGTGAATATTATTAAGTAAATCCAAAGGGTTCGTATAAGCCAGTTTGGGTATGTAATGTGCTGAAATAGATGCAGCGGCAACTAAAACAACTAAACTTGTTGCAGAATAGATCGCTTAGTAAAGATATTCTAAAAACAATATTTTAATAAAAATTCAAGACTTTTGTTTTGATCCAGTCAGGAGTCTGATCGTATGGAAAAGAAGTGTTCAGCATGAAATTAGAAATTTCAGATCAGGCCTAATTTTATGAATTCATGATCATGGTAACACTGGGAGCAGTGTGCTACTTTTTTAATTCAAGCAAATCTTCCTTAAGGTTTCGAACTCTCGATAACGATTTTTTACATAAGGTATTACATATTATGCCCTGAGGATACAAGTTTCGATTTACATTCAGGATGTTGTAATTGTGGGTTTTCTAGAAAATTCCTTGAATACCAAAACACAGTCATTACGATACTCTTAAAATAAGTACTTCCTATGTATCAAGGGCTTTTTTCTGAAGGCCTATAAACGTCAAAAAGAAATATATTTTCCTTAATAACACCATGGCAAATATGAGGTCAAATCTGAATGAAAAAAATTGCTGCAATATTAATGATTAGCTGTCAAGTTAAAATAAAGTCTGTAAGTATTAGATGGTGGCGATGCCTAAGCTTGAACAAATTCTTACCAGTGCCACTGCAACAAAGATCAGCATAGCAATTCCAACTGTCTCCTCCATTCTTCAATTTCCTTCGCTTTACTCCAATAATAAAGATATGTATTCAGGCAAACTCGAACAGCAAAATAAAGTTTATTAAAGATAATACTTATAAATCTGAACAAATACAACATTAATGTTAGCTTGAGGATGACATCACAAGTGATTTAGAACGAGAGAGCACCAAATACAGTATTCCCGTAGTATGTGTACCAGGTTAGGGTTAGACCATAATTTTATTCCAATTTTCCTTATTTTAGTGACTATACATCCATAGGTTTCTGTCCCTTTACACAACTTGATGTAAAGTTGGCGAACAAAATTAGTTACCTCCATATTGGTATACACACTTCTGGGGTGCCCCAAATAGTTTGAAGAGCTTGATTTAATTTTTTTGTCTTCACTGAATTTTCAGATTCTACTAGTCTTTTTTCTCATACAGTCATAGATAGATATCCTAAACAGAAAGCTCTTATATAAATCCTCATTAGAAACCCACTTTGCTCAGTATTTCTTCATACTGTCATACTTATTGAGTGAACTGCGATTGGCACTTAATCACGGAGAAAATAGCGTAATTGGATATTCAAAATTCAGAAATTACCGTAGATGAATTCAACAATATTCAATAGGCCTATAGTGAGTTTTCTATTACTGGAATAATTTAGAATATTCTCATTAAAACTTGATATAACTTCTATCACATTTTCCCTGACACCTGCCACAGAAAATTTTTTCTTATACTTCCCCATTGAAAAATGTTTGATTATTATTTTTTAATTGCCTTCGTCAGTTTGTAAATAGGCGCTTACAAAATGATTAAATATTTCATTACCGCCTTTTTAATTAAAAATATTATACCATGCAGCAGTGCAGATTTGAGTCTGTGAGCAGAGCAAAGTGACTATAACTTAAGTGGGCTATGTAAGAAATGTTTGCATGCATTTTCGGGAACCTTAATTCCTCCACTTTAAGCATCGTTAGTCACGCTTTATGATTTTACATTGCCCATCTTTACTGTGACGTAATAGTCACTTATTCCCCCGCGCTTTAGGGCCTTCTAGAACTTTCCTTGCCACAAAGTAGACGCTTGTTGCGCTTTGCTTATTAGGGAGGATTCTGCTCGTCTGCAGATTTTATAGTTTATAGGTTTTACTATTTTCTGGTTATATTACTAAATGATTATCAGGTAGGAATTCTAGAATTGAAATGATTATGTTTATCCATATATTGTCCGATAGGTTGTGAGGATTGCTGTATTTTGTTCTATCAAATATGTCGCTTATTGTTCCTATTTGTATTATAGCATACTTATGGCTGTTCTTTGAGTCCTTGTCAAAAACAGTCAATTTATCACTAGCACTAATACTGTAATAGACTGTTATCACTGACGTCAACATTCAGACATTAGATGTGTTTAAACAAGATAATAAAGTTTCTTTCAACACAAGTCTACAGGATTGTTGGTGTGCAGGTTGCAGTGTGTGTTGGTCAGTTGGTGCATATAATGAAGACATTATTTGGGGACCCAAGGGACAGGACGCGTCTCCAGTTACCCTGTATCTCAGAGTCGCAGTGAGACACATTAGGTACTGTGCCCTACGCATACTTATCCCACATGCTATTCCAAGTGACTCTACAGGACAATTCCAGAAATTTTGCATGTTGTTAGATGCAATATATTTTTACATTGCCAGCTACATGTTTTGTATTATTGTCCAATCAGTTGCTTTATGGAGTTTGAACAATACTGCACGGAAGTTTGACTTACTTAGTGGATATCGAATCAATATTAAAATATAGCATGAGTCTACAGGACAGCAAATTCACCATGCATTAACATTTCATTATGTTGTGTTGTAAATTGTCGCGATGGTACCGGTACAGCAGGAGCCCTCAATATTTTCTGGTGCAGTAACTAAAGGACCCCTCCATGTGCCACTCGAGTTACTTAATGTAACACTGTAGATCCACGACGATAATGTGCACATTGTACCTGACTCTACAGGATGTGACACTATAGGACATTTTTCCACTTCGAAACAGCGGGCTTTATCATCTCTTGAAATTCTATCAATAAATTGCTAAATAGGTAAAGACAACAAAAGTTACCCCAGCACACACTCGCTCAGCCCACGCTCAGGCTGACGTCAACGGGTTACCCAACTATTTTACTAACTTTATAAACGTTACCGGTATTACATAAAAACTTGGTGGCTCTGACAATATCTGATATACACAACGCAAATGCAATACTAAGCACGGCCCAGTTATTATTCCTGATATGGCCTAACAAAAACGAGTGTGGGCTAGCGTCACACGACTGTGCGCTGGCGTTCTGACAATGTTATACGGTAAGTTAAGGCATCCTAAACACACATATCCATGTTTAACTCAGCACCAGAATCTCTCAAAGTCCGGCAATTAATGGCGCAAAATGGCCACAATTGCCGGGAAAATGAATCAAAATCAACTGAACAATAATATGTTTATACAGTGTTGCCAGATATGATGGTAAACAAGCATAAAATTCACCGTCGCGAAAACAAGAAAATTAAAATCTAAGCTAAATATCACAACTGTTCTTTTTATGAATAAAAAGTAGTTGTAAATAAACCATACTTGATTTGCACAAATACATCATGTAAAATGAAATATAAACATGATAAAAAAATATTTCACCAGGGAGATACATTGTGGAAATTCAGGGATATACCATAGAAAAAAAACTAGACCTGATAGAGAAAAAGTAACATCATTTCTGGAATCAGCGTCCTCAAATTTGTTAAAAACGGTTAAAACATCTTAGGCATCATGAAAAAAAAATTTTTTGTCGGCCAGTGTTATTTTTCATGATTTTTGTGCAAAAACAATTCCCTGCTGCTCCAGCCAGCCTCGATGATTTTTCTATTTTCTTTCACATTTCTCCTACTGTTTCCGTTGAGGCCTCGCTGAAATTATATTCCCACTCACTTCTATTTTTACTCATAGAGCGGGTTTTATTTTCCATATTCAACTTCTTGCAACTTGGCTGCTGTTTCTATTTTCAGTGACTTCTGGAAGCAAGTCCACATGGTTTTTCTATTTCATTTCATCTCTATTTTATATACCCTTGACTTTCGTTTTCTATTCTCATTGAATCTTAATTTTTCTTGCTTCTGGCCTTTATTTTATTTCATTTTGCTTTTTTCATTAATTTCTTTTTCTTGGGCCCCTCGCCGAATTTTTATTATTTAGTTCCTGGAATACTATTTTTACTCACCTTCACTAATTTTTTCATTTTTCATTGCTGCCCCAACCAGCCTACAACTCAGGCCAGTGTGGTTCGAATTATTCGAATTTTTTTTTTTGCAATCTTTTTCCATTATATTTATTTGTCCCGCTTTTTCGTTAGGGCTTTTTTGGCTTCTTAGAATTTTTTTGGGCCTTTTTGCATTCATAATTTTCACTCTCGCTCGTTATCTTTTCTTTTTCATTTTGCGTTTTCATTTCTTCACTGAACTGAACCACTTTTTCTTTTTATTCCGCCTACTGACTCACACTTTTCTTATTTGCGGCTATCTATCTGATCGCTGACTTTTCATTTTTGCATTTTTTTTCCCTCCGCTTTTCGGCTCTCTATTTTGGGTGGATTTTTTTCTTTTTTAGGGCTTTTTTTTACATCCGTAATTTTCACTCTCTTCCGCCCCGATCATCCCCCGTCAGAACGTTCGTTCGAATTCGAAATTTTCTTTTTCGCTATTTTTTCGTTCGGGCTTATTTTGGCTTCATACCTGACTGAACTTTTGGCTTTTTTACATTTGTAACTTTCACTCACCCTGATCTGACCGCCGATTTATTTTCGCTCACTTGATTGAACATGCTGGCTTTCTTTCTTTAACTTACTTTCTTTATCTTAGCCTCGCTGAATTCACTCGCACTTGTATCCTCGCTTTATTTTTACCCCGCGCTGCTGGGTTCTACCACTTTATCATCTTTGCTCTATTCGGCTGCTGCTCTCATCTGCCCCTTTCCCCCTCGACCGTCTGCCCAGGCTGCTGGTCAACACCTACGACTAAATCTACCATGTGGGATTCGAAACACGGTCCTAATGTTTGACCAAGTCTCTACGCTTCCCCTGAGCTACAGCTACTGACAAGGGTCGGGTTGATTAGATTCTTACTTAATTAACGACGTCACGCTTGACAGCCTATGACGAGACTAATTACTCCCGAAAAATTACATTGAACATGCTTCGTTGATTCGAAGCAGGTGTATTCATATTTCAATTGAAAGCGTTTATCTGGGACTATGAGGTGCGTTGCTTTAACGATTTAATGTGTTAATTACCCTTTTAATTTTTGTTTCATTTTAGTTTAGTTTTAATGAAAATGCTAAGATAATTCAAATTAGTGAATGTGCAAACCAAATTTCTGACTGTCAAAGGAGAAATACTAATTTGATCCTTTCTGTCTCTTGTGCTAACTGGCCGTCGTATTTCTTGTTTACTTTTCTGAATTTATAAAACATCTCAGATCAAAATTGGAGCGACGTTATGCCCTGTTATAGATTGAAATGATATCATACACACTAAAAAAATGAAAAACACCTTAAATTTTGTCTGAAGAGCAGTGGGATGCCTAGAGGGGGTGGAAGGGGCAGCCGCCCCGGGCAGAACGTTGTAGGGGACAGCAAAACCATGCTGTAGAGTAGGCGTTGTTATACATGTTTTTCCCGATTTGTATTAAATCAAAAGCTGACATTATGAGTGACCAACTGTGATGATGGAAAGTCAACGATGGATGTTTTCTCGACCATTGACTCTAGAAAATTCTTCTTATTCTATTTTACAATTGCAACATTTTGGGAGCTCATTTTAGGGTGGTTTCGCGATTAAGCGCCTCCCTCATACTAGTTTATATGTTTCAAACAATCATTTTGATTCAAAATATTCAACCCTGTTTGAAAGTACCAGTAAATTATTTTAGCCTTGTCTACCACAGCTATTTTTGTACTAATTTATGATTAATGCAATTAAAATATATGAGAACACAGTATAATCATTGGGTTTCATTATCTTTACACCATTTACATTTGCACCCAGGACAATTGCATTTGCATACTTTTGTACCGACGGAGATTTGCATCCGCAGCTTTTAACACCAACATACAGCCTGTATGTCTGCATCCATGAACATTTAAACCCATAAATATTTAGACTCATGTACATTTGCACCAAACATTTACACTCATTGATACCATTCTTTATTAAAGAGGTTATATTGCTATTTGTACCGAAATAGGGACCTCCTAATGTCATACTTAGTAATGAAAACGAACTCACCGCAAATCCGAACGTACACGCGTGCAAATTTCCGTGAGTGCAAATGTTCGTGGGTGCAAATGTCCCATATTGTTTATTACTCACAATCGACTACTCAATTGCTAGTTGCGAACGATCTTTCCCAGAGTTAAAACAGATAGAAAATATTCGAGGTTTTCGATGTCGAATTAGCATCTGTCAAGTGTATCTTTGATTAGCATCGAAAAGAAATTCCTGAAGAGCGAGGTGAAGAAGGCTGTCGTTCAGACATTTATACCAGAAAATTAGCGATTGGACATAGAAATAAGTGACTTGCTTTTTGTTAATGAATGAGTTTGAACTTATACATGTGAGTTTGTTGTCTAGTTTGAATACTTCTATCTTACTTGACTTTTAATTCATTTATTCTTATGTATGATGGCATCTATAATCTGTTTATCCCCCGAAATATTTTTGAAGTTAGGTATAAGGGGCATCATTATCAAAAACTCGTTCCGGTCAGGAGAAAAGTTTGGCACGCCCTTGCTGAAGAGCCCCGCGACAGGTAAAACGTGCTACCCCATGCACTAAAGATGAAATGTAGTAAACTGCGCGTGCTTTGTATCTTTCTATTCGTCCGAATCCGATGAAATATCAGCTAATCAATGTGAAGGCTATGATCAATTAGTCTTCCATTCTATTATAAATGCATTCATTGCGGTTCTTATATGGAAATTTCTGTGGTGCCCCATTATCATTGGTTCCTTAGGCACGTGCTTATTTTGCCTAATGGACAATCCAGCTCATCACAAGTAACAATTTGTTGTTTTGCTTGTTTTATTTTTAAAATTTAATGTGGGATCCGTGAATAATAATCGACCTCTTCAACGGTTCCGTAACACCCCTGTCCTATATGACGAAATTCCTCATACGAAAATATCAGCCCCGAAAAAGAAAACATTTATATTATTGAAGTATTTGGCATAGAAAATACAAGAAAAACTGCTGATTTAAAATTAGCAGTCAGCAAATTTAAAGTCACATAGAAATGCTTAAACGAAGATAAGCCTACGAATTGAGCATGTCAAAAATCGATTTTCCTAATAATAGAACTAAAATGAGTAATGCCAAATACAAATCTTGTCAACACTGCTTCCGCACGAGCGGAGAAAAATTTTATTATTGGAAATTATTCAGATATATCAACGATACATATATACGAGATTCTGAGTTGTTGGGGATAAATGCATTTAAGTGTAACTGGTTGTCGAAAATAATTTACATCATAAAACTCGGTATAAGCATATAATTTCCCAATCTTCAAACCCCAGCAGCAATTCCTCTCGATTAAAAGGAGGGAGCTTTTATTACTGAAAACTATTGTAGTATATATGTCGCGCATCATACAATTTGAGTTGTTGGGAACAAAATTTTGCATTAATCAACGCGCGACCCGTTACTAGAAATGTTCTATTTATTTGAAATCGACACAGCCAAAAATTGTAAAGTTTCACTATTTTCAAACTATAACAACCTATTTATCCGTTAAGGAGGGGCGAGATTTTATTTATTGACATATATTTTAATATATGCACTCTTCATCACACATATTGAACTGGAGGGAACCAAATCTTGCATCTATGTGTTATCCATTATTGAATAAGTCATATATTCATAATCATATTAATTAAATAATAACTCAATAATTATACGACATAATTAATCCAAAATCAATAGGAATCTGGTCCAAGATGAGATAAATACACATGCAAAATTTGGAGCAGATTCAACCTCTCTTTTGTGAGATATTGCGTAACATACGAAAATGTCTAACAGACAGACAAATACCTATCAACATACTTAACGATCAAGATCGATAAGTAATAACTAATTTTGTTTGCCCACTTTACATCAAGTTGTGTAAAGGAACGAAAGCCTATGGGCAGAGGGTATATTCGCTTGGCTAACTCAGACAGTCCCAAACTCGTAACTGAACTGAAATAAGGAAAATCGGAACTAAATTATAATAACCTAACCCTAACCTCGTACACAAACTACGATGTTATCATTTTTACATAGATGGCAAACATGAAATTTCACAATTTTCAAACTACAACAACATGTCTTTCCGATCAAGAGGGAATAAATTTTGTTATTGAAAAGTACAATAGTAAATATGTGGTACATCATACAATTAGGGTTGTTCGGAACACAAATTTGCATTATTATGCAATCCGTTACATTTCAAATAAAAACGTTACTGAATAACATGCGTCAACTTAACACCACCTGAATCGGGTTACAAATTTTGGTACAGTGACTGTCATAGCCGTTTAGAGCTGATGGACAATTCAACTACACGGACAACTCACCAGCTCTATTTGTAGTCGAGATGTCTCTGGTGAGTTGTCCGTGTGTAGTCGAGTTGTCTGCCTCCAATTTCACATGTCCCGGGACTGCCCTATCTTTAGAAGTTCCTATCTTGTGACAGCGTGAATTGAAATTGCAAGATGGTCCGACTCACAACTGTAAAAATACCAACGATCCGAGTCACTACTGTAATATAACACCAAGTACGGCACTATTCGCCCCTCAAATCTTAACAAAGCAAGGATTCCATTACGAACCACCGACATTCGATGGCACGTGATCAAGAGAGTGCCAGCATATGCGTCCGCAGAACGTTCGGTGACGTCATAGCAAACAAAAACAAATCTCACAGAGCCAACAGAAATGTTTGAAATAAATAAAAATAATAGCCTTCTGGAAAAGAATTTCATCTTTCACCACTAAAAATTTCAAAGCAATTGGTCCAGTAAGAGAGAAATAGCTTTCCATATTTACTATTTTATGTTCATTCCTGGTGATTTGATTTGTAGCTTAAGAAAAGCAGAAGAAAAGCAACGTACATTATTATCAATGACACCATTATAAAATAAATTCAAACATTCCACGCATGCAGTCACTGTAGAGCAGTGCTGGCAATTATTTTTGCTATCGGGCCACATTGAATATTCAAAATGCAGTGGCGGGCCAGAATAAGAAAAGTCAATCTACATTGAATTTTATTGCAAATATTTAAATAAAACAAAGTAGGCCTACTATTGTACTTGGTTAGAATTTTTATTCTAGGCACAATTATTAAAACTAGTTTAAAACATAAATCTCACGTTTCGAGAGGATACACCAGAATGACACGCTTGCATGACAACGCCGAATTTGATCCGGCGAATGATTAGAGTGAGTAATGATAAGAATGCTGAAGAGTGAGTAACAAATGCGGAATTAGGACCAGGCCTTCGATGGCCAAACATCGTGATTCATATAACTTTGCTGGTATCATATCATTTTTAACGTGAACAAAAATATTTTAATGCATTGGAAGGCTTTGCGAGCTCAAAAGTTTGGGACGCACTACTTTAAAATCCCTCATCTATCTGTGGATATGAAAATGTGAGATAAACTGCCGGAATAACTTAGCTTTGTTACTTATTTTTGTGATACTGGCATATTCAAAATCATTAAATGTCTCGTTACGGGCACATTAAAATGTCCTGCTTTATTGTTTTCAACTTAACTCGTGGTTGCTTTGACGAAATAAAAGCTTCACTTCTCTGAAAAACAAGCGCATTCGGCGGGAATGGAAATGTGAGGTGAAGTTATAAATTATATTTATTTGTGTTTTGCAATTTAACGAATTCGATAAATTTGATCTGTTCTTGCAACACTGACTTCGTTGTGTTTTAGAATTTTACTGTTAGAAAAATCCCTACGTCTGCGATTAAACCACACCGAGTAAAATTCCTTATTGTAAAATCGATTAAATTTACATTACAATAATTATCTTATATATCAGGTGCCGTCGGTAGTTTTAGATCAAAAGGTACATCACGCGCACAACTTATTGCGTTTCGAATTCAGTCATAGTATGGTTTCGTAAGTCTTTAAACTAAAATATGTGCCTTGGGCACATGAAATTTTTCAGTTTTCAATTTCTAAAACAATGTTTTTAATATGTCGCAACTCGCAAGCCTTCTAAATCCAAACCGGCTTCTGTTTAATTTTTAGTATTGTGTATTGCCGCTCTTCAATCTTGATTTAGGTTGGTTGAAGATTCAATCTTTTATTTATTTTCAGCATCTCGTCGCCGTTAACTATATAATAACTCGTTTTTATCAATGGTTTCACAGTTCCGTATACCAGGCATATATATGTTAAGATAAATTTGTGATTTGAGAAGAATAATCACCGACGTAAAGGTGTCAGATTTAGGCACACAGATGTTCCATATTATACGCGTTTATTGTAAAACGGTTGACTGTAAATAAAATGAAATAAATAATCACAAAATGAAGACGGAATAAAAATGCATAACCAGAAAGTTAATAAAAATAAACTTCCATATGATAACGCTCCAAAGGTCTAAATCTAAATCGACAAGAAACTAAGAGGAAACGTCCACGATGGTCATATGAGGCTCCGGTTACAATACCCTCCCCACAGTTCTACCTAACGAGACCAAATGCCACCCACACGCTAAGTCAGTAAAGCACATAATGCGAAACCACACCACCAACACCATAACGAGAATATCGATCGGAGACCGAAGACTTATCGATCGAAAGTTAGGGGCTCCCCAAAACATAAACTGCGGTTTCGATTCATCCGCTCTTACTCCATAGTGACACCGTGTGTCCGATCACTAATTAATTAATAACTCGTCAATTATACGACATAATTCATCCAAAATCGATAGGCTTCTGATAGATATGATGAATGCACATGCAAATATTGAAGCAAAAAACAGAAAAGCAATAATAGATAAAATTAGCCGGTCGGAACACAAGGACGAACAGCGTTCAAATTATAATCAACTGAAAAGAAACTTCTATCGCCGACAAAAGGTGCTTACGGTCTACATAACACCTCTATCTGAAGAAAACAATCGGAGATTTAAAAAAATTAGTCAAACGTTAATACCGACTTTTTCATTATCCTAAAAATTTGATTTTCCTTACAAAGTATATTTTATATGTAAATAAAACAGAAGTGTATAAATCTAGAAATATACTCGGGGACCAGATGAAACGTTGCCGCGGGCCGGATGTGGCCCGCGGGCCGCAACTTGCCCAGGCCTGCTGTTACTGCAGCGGTTTGCATCAGTGTCTTTAATGACTGACAGGCGAGATTGTATGACGTCATAGTTAGGATGTTTTGTTTTGTTAGAATGTTCTGGAATACATGTCACTTCCTGTCTCTGGCCTGTAACACGAGTTAGTATTGTCTCTGTATAGTTCAGACTTAGTATGGCTATACAGTATTAATACTATTTTAGTGTCAAATTTTGTTGTTTGAATCTGCATGTATAAATATGAGATTAGGATATGTACCGGTACTGGAATTGAGTTCAGTTGCATGTTGTTTTGACTAAAAGGTAATTAATTGTTATGTTCTTGTTTACACAGTTTGTTATAAGTTGTCCTGTGAAAGCTGGATTTTCATGCTATTAAAATATTGAAACACGAGTCAAGCTGCATTGAATTGGTATTAGATTCGTCTGCTAGCATTCCATCAACAGACTTATGAAGGGATTGAATGCCGGAAGCCACACCCGCTGTGGAGGCAGAGAAACGTTTCCGTCATACGTGATAGAATATTTTTCCTATAGCATAGGTCAATGTTTTGAATGACTTCAGTACCAAAATAAACCATATTCTACTAAGAATTGTCTTTATCGATTTTATAAAATTGTCTGTGTTAGCCAAGTGAATATACACCCTGCCCATAGGTTTCACTCCCTTTACACAACTTGATGTAAAGTAGGAGAACAAAATTAGTTATCACAATATTGTTACACACACTTCTGAAGCGCCGTAAAATATGTCATACGTGATTAAATTTTTTACCTAGAGGGCATTGTTTTGTATGACTTTAGTACCAAAATAACCAATATTCTACAACGAATTGTCTTTATCGATTTTGTCAAAGTCGAAGCATAGAAATGAAATTGAATTTGGGCGGTCAATCAATTAACGTCACATCAAGGAAGGATCCATAGGATTCACATGTTTTTCTGCACAGCTATATATCTCTGACCTATGTGAAAACGTACCCGCGGCTTTTCTAACACCCCAAAAAGTAGTGCTTGTGTATTATTGTCTAGATCAGGGGTGTGCAACCTTTTTCATAGGCGGGCCAGATATCGATAATTGGGTAAACCGCGGGCCGCACCTTCATTTAACTTGTCTCTCTATTAGTTGCAGACACAGAATAGTGTCTTTTTGTTATCGATCTCATGGCATTATTGGAGGTCCTTGCAGAAATGATGAGTTGAAACGCAAAAATGTTTGAAAACTTTTATTCAAATTTAAACAAATTGAGTGAGAAATTTGCTGCTGGATTATTTTCCCGACAACCTTTATCTAAATTTGCTTTAATGTCAGTGCTAGCGATTCTATATCCATTTCCAAGTTTTTCTCTTTTATAAGGCCCACTTTAGAAAAAAAATATGTTGAGCCGAAAATTGTCTTGACTTTTTCAAATATGGAAAGTTAACTTGGTTGAGATGTTTTCGATGAAATTCGCTAGGATTCATTTCTAAATAATTTGCTGTCAAATCTTTTTCTAGATTAGATTCAGACAAAATCAAATTAAGGTTGGAACCAAAACCTATTTAGCTTTTGTATCTTCCAACAGAATTTTTTTTTAAACTTCTCTCCAATTGCCTAATTCTCAATTGCCCGTTTTTACTAATTCATTAGCGTCTGCTCAGCACTTTCCTTAAATTGCATGCTGCACAGCAAGTGACAGCTTTCTGAATCGCATTGTTTGTTTCGCTGTTAGGAGATTGTAACGCCATATGCATAGATAATAATTTGGACTCGGATATAAGCTTTGTCACGCAAAGGGGACCGAATTAAAACAAATTGAAAACTCATTTCGCTGGCTGGACACCATCCAAAGTTAGCACTTCTCCGCGGGCCGCACAATTTTCCCTTGTGGGCCGCATTTGGCCCGCGGGCCGCACTTTGCACACCCCTGGTCTAGATGAAACGTTTTAACCGGCAGGGCTTCTGAAATATAAACATAATCCGGATCGGAAAAATACAACAAGTTGAACAAAATTGCCGAAGTTAAACAAAAACGAAATGCTAATTTTCAAAGAAGGCGAAGGTCGTTATTTTTATATCTAACCTGTGTGAGTTCTACACAAGACGCTGCTAGCTGCGAGTGTGTACCTTGCTCCTAAAACGATGAGGCCCAAACATCCAGTGTATGGGAGAAAGTTGCAATTTGTGACAAGGTCGTATTAAGTCTCTATAGCAGCGATTTCAATAACCTCAACGTTAATAAAATTGTATTTGAATATACAGTAAGTGACGTATTTGACAATGAAGCTCAGTCAAATATAAAACAGATTTTATAAGAGTACTCGCTGTTATTGAAATAAGAGAACAAAATATTGAGTAAAATATTGGATCCCGTAATATCCGTTTTCAAATATATAAAATATAAAAACCGATATTCATTTACTTATAAATCACGTTCTTTATCAAAATAACTGCAAAACATAGATTATCAATCATTTAAAACGTGTTGGAGAAATTTCTTGCTATCGACTAGGTAAAAAATATTTTGCGTTATTGACTAGGTCTTATTTCAAGGGGAGGGCTTGTATTGAAATCATTTTTAAAATTCAGGCTAGGTCTTATTTTCGTGGAAGCACGGTAGTAGCCGCTTGTAGTATCTCATATGTGCAAAATTCCAATTACAGGCACTGAAACATTGTTATTGTTTGGTTCAGTAAATGAGAAACATGCGATTTTTCACTACAACCCAAACCTCAATTAGACCAGCAATGAAAAAATTAACAAAACCTATATGTGTTCAATGCGTGTCCAATGAACAAGTAAAGTTAAGTTTTCCCTGTTTTTAATTCAGTTCAAACCCGGCTCATTGATTTCATTATTTATTGATTAATAAAGAATCATTTTTATTAATGAAAACAATATCGTATAATATATCTTTGTGTTCATTCCCAGAAACGTAAAGAGAAAGAAAAACGCACGAGAAAAAGAGAGAAGGAATTATCACACTCATACGGAAGAACATATCAAAAGCCACTCAAGCTAATAGTAGGATATGACTCTGATCAGTAAGTTTTTGTTGTGAAATCATATGGCTCAATTGATTAGTATTTGTGCTCGCTGAAACGCCGAAGCATGGAATTGACGATTTCCAATCGAAGATGAATTGCTTTCAAGAAAGGAATTTAATAGTGTTTAACTATTAGTGCATATAGTGCTACTAATATTCATTGCCTATTTTTAATGATTCGTTAAATATTGAAAAAATATCGGAAACGGAATTTTTATTCCGGGTTTTTAGTATTCCCGTAGTGTGTGTACCAGGTTAGGGTTAGGTCATAATTTTATTCTAATTTTCCTTATTTTAGTTCTATTACGAGTTCGAAGACAGTCGGTGTTAGCCAAGTGAATATACCCTCTGCGCATAATAATCAGTCTCTTTACACAACTTGATGTAAAGTAGGCAAACAATTAGTTACCTCCATATTGGAGCGCCCTTATTTTTAAAGATTTGTTAAAAACTGGAAAAATTACGAAAACGAAATTTTTGAGCAGGATTTTCAATAGGCAAAGAGATGAAGTATTGGAAAACGTTAGGAATAACTACTTTAAATCGTCTTATGTTTTTTTTTAAATTGGATTCAACCCTTATTTCATTCCTCAGGGACACGTGGCGCCTACAAATATTCATTTGTTTTAGTCGCCATGGTTGAGTTTGATGAAAATTTCTGGCAACAGTCAGGTGAACGTAGTCATGTTACATCAACAGATGTAACGAAAATGCTTCGTTATAATCTTAATGAGATAACTGTTTTGCGTTTTCGCAGCATAGATGAGTCAAATTCCAATGACTTTTCATGCAACAAATTCTTAACATACTATGACTACTAAACACTTTACAGATCATTTCAATCTGACATTTTTAAGTTATATATTCAAGCCTTTGTCATTTGCGCTTGCAATTCCTTTCCAAAATAATATAAACATTTTGTTATGAAATTCATTTCAATATACTCGAGCCCAAAGACACGTTATCGAATTTGAACTTCGGGCGATCCAGAAGTATTCATACCAAGATGACGCGCAATCTGAACAACCTTAACCTGGTACACATACTATGTTCAGGTTGTGCGCCATTTTGGTACGAATACTTCGGGAGCTCCGACACCGTATCCTTTGGTATGTGATCTATATATGAATATATAGAGCAAACCTGTTACAAAAGACAATAAATATGTCTGTGTGGATCTTTATTAACATTATATATATGAAAAAAGAATCTTACAGAAGTAGATTATAGAAGCGGAACTAGCTTACTCGATTAGTTTAGTGCGTCTGCAAAATTCAGCAAATATTTTATTTTGACTATAAAAACAACATATATACAGAAGTTCAACATTTTAAAAGCTTGAATGTATACAAGTTTAAATTCAAAACATATTTTTATCTCTAGATCTCCATCCGTGTCGAGCAAAACATCGACAACAAGATCTAAATCTTCAATATCAGTCAACAGTGAGCCATCAGAGTCTACAGTTGTTCGAATCGAAACGTCTTCGTCCGATTCCAAAGGATCATCAATAAAACAACAGTACACGAAAACTGACGTATCTTCTCATAAAACAGTTATTAATAAGCCAAAGGAAATGGGTTCGAGTGATTCGTCATCAGAAGACGAGATTAATTTGAAACACACAGAAAACAAATCAGTGTCTCGGAAAAATACTAGATATGCAAGAAATGGCTCACTGCCAAACGGATCAATACCGGCTTCTTCACATAAGCACAAAGATTCTAAAACTCACAAAGAATCTAGTCGAAAAACTAGTTCGGATTTTAAATCATCAAAACAAGAAACTAATAAACATGTGATGGAACGCGTGCCGAGTAGTAGCAGTTCGAGTGCATCATTCGTTACCTCATCCCAGAATCAAGCGACAAACGATGGCTCGACAAGAAAAAGTTCGTCTAGTCAGCCATCCGCCCCAACACAGCGACCAGTAATTCATATATATTCTCCTAGCAGTTCATCAATAGACAGTGACACAACCAAGTCAGTTGCAAGCGTCGTACATCCATCGCAAAACGAATCGCCAGAATTAGAGAAAACTGGACAAGCGACTGCTGTGCCTTCTGGCGGAATTAATGCAACGTCGGTAAACGTTGAAAACGATGCGGTATCACCAAGTCAAAGCCGTGAAAGCAACCGTACATCTAGTGAAAGTTCTATTTCATCTACAGACACGGAAAATGAAAATAAAGAAGTGAAAGTGAAGCCTTCTGATATTAATAATCGAAAAACTGCTTCAAACGACCACCAGCCAATAAAAACACATTCGGAACATGAAACTAGCATGCCTGGGATAGACGCTGCAAAGAAGCACAATTCCACAAGCAGTAGTTTGATGTCAGAGACACAAGACATCAGGACATCCTCAAATGACCAAGACGTGATCGCAAAAAGCACTGATGGCGAAGACGCTCGACAGGAAAAGGCAGAGAGATTGGGAACATTGAAGAAATTAGTGAGCAGCTCTTCGTCATCATCAAGTGGGTCAGATTCGGATATAGATGACAGAAACAATCACTCGCAATTCGATTCGACTAACACCAATGTCGAGAAAAAATCAAATGTTACCACTAGTAGAAAATCTACTACAGAAGACAGCAGTATATCAAGCGACGTTTTCATTTCTGAATCAAGAGAAAGTTCTGTCCGACCTAGTGTGACGTCATCAATACATTCAAAACAATCGGATGACAGTTCGTCGTCATCAGAATCAGGAAGCTTTGACATGTCATCGATGACGTCATCGTTACGTAATCTCATCGAAGAATCTCGAGTATCATTATCGGAAACAATTCCTACTTCTTCGTCAAGTGACGATGATGACAGTGAAAAGTCAGTAGCCTATTTACTCATAATTCTGCAAAGTTACCCAGGTTTTTTTTTCGCTGCTTTGCCGCCAGTTCTTACCCATACGTGGTACGGGTGAAAGTTTGTCATCGACATTTGTCCCTAATAGTTTTTTTTTGCCTCGAATGAATACGCCTCTATTGCTATACCGTGTTTCCCCGAAAATAAGACTTGGTCTTATTTCAATTTTATTCCGAAAAAATAACACTAGTGCTTATTTTCAGGGGATGTCTTATATTTTCATTTATCAAAAACAAAAGCACAAAGTAGAGAATTTCCAAATATACAAAATATGAAAACCTATATTCATTTACTTATAAATAACACGTTTTTAATTAAAATAACTGCAAAGCATAGAATATCAATTATATAAAATGTGTAGGAGAGAGTTCATGCTATCGACCTGGTCAAAAAAAATTTTGCGTTATGAACTAGGTCTTATTTTAACGAGAGGGCTTATATTAAAATCATTTTAAAAATTCAGGCCAAGTCTTATTTTCGCGGAAACACGGTAGTAGCCGCTTGTAGTTTATTTTTAGACGTACTTTCTAATAAATCCTAGAGACTTTGGCTTGGAATAGATGGTACTGCGACTGCGATGCACATATGGTGTTTATGTGAGAGTTGGGCTGAAGCAGTAATCGTAATTTACGGCAGTAAAATGGTATAAGGTCAGGTTTGTGAACTACCTTGCTTACTCAAGTCATTCAGATTGTAAGTAAACAAAAATACTCGGGGGGCTTCCGTAGTATGTGAATCCAGATGGCGGACACCGCAACGTAGTATGTGTACCAGGTTAGGGTTAGGCCATAATTTCAGGTACAAATACTACGGAAGTCACTTGGCTAGTCCCCGATCTCGTAATAGAACTAAAATAAGAAAAATTGGATCAAATTATGGCCTAACCCTAACCTGGTACACATACTACGTTCCGGTGTCCGTCATCTTGGTGCACATACTACGGGAGCGCCAAGTACTAACTCATGAAATATCCGTGGAGTTTAACTATCTTTTCAATTCTTGGCAGATTCAGATTAGAAGAAAAATTCTTCGGCCATGGAAATCAAGATGATATTTCTCATCAATTTGATTTACCGAATGAGAAAGAACCATACGTTGAAAGTGGAGGAGAAATACTAGGAGTTATGAAAACATCGGCAAAATATGGATAATATTGAAGAATGTTATATCTTTGTCTGCAGTGAATAAAAAGTTGAATGTTTTTAAATGACTTCTAAAAGTCTTTTGAAATATACACTCACACATACGAATGCTGTAAAAGTACATGAGATTATTGTTACCCCTCAATTTTCAGCCTCTAAGCTAATATTTTCATAACGTTTTATATTTATCTATAATCCTTAAAATCTTGAATATATATTCAAGCATACAAACGGTGCAGAAAGCACGGAAATTTTATTATATATATATCTCATTTTTCAGCGTAAAAACTATTTTTGTAACTTTTTATATTTGAACATCAAATCGCTTGTAAGTGTTTGGCCTTAATTACCCTATTATAGGCCCTTCTTGCGAATGAAAATAACTGGTATACCCAAATTTATCTTTATTTTAAATACCTTTTTTTAATCGTATTTTGTTTGTATTCAATTTGCGAATATAATAGAATAGAAAAAAACATTATCAGATAAACTAAGGCAGAGGTTATCAACCGGGGCCCTGTAGCCCACCAAGGGTGCCATAGAGCAGTTGGAGGGGGGCCATGATGCTAGGCGCAAAACTGATTTTACTTTTCCCTTTCATGAAAACTCCCCGTTCTCTCTAGTTTCATTGCTTTGATTGCTTGCTTGACATGCTTTACTTTGTCAAGCATGAATTGTTTGAACATAATGGGATTTCGAATCTGCCAATCAAAATAGCAATATAAATATCACTAGAGTGATAAACAGGGGGCCATGAATGCTAAAACCCTCCTGAAGGGGCGACGAGCCATATAAGGTTGGAAGCCACCGAACTCAGAGTTAGGAATTTGAGATTGGTCAAAATTAAAACAGCGAGAGCAGAAACTAGCTCTATGCAAGTACTATACAAGAGTTCCATTGTAATTCTGTCAGCATAGCATAAATGCAATTGGTAAGAATAAGTACTGATCCAGGCAAAAGTCTGCTTGTGATCCTTAAGCGGTGATTCGTTGAAAAAGCATCTGGCTAAGTGCGTTTGTGATTCTCAAAAGTTAAAATCGCAACTATATACTTGACAAATTATTGAAATACGTTCCATCTTTTAAAATGGAAATAGACGCTACGTTGGTGTCTTACAATAACAACAACAGTGTCACAGTATTATATCGTGGTGACTCGGCGAATAATCAGTAACATAGAGGCCATATTTGTAGTAGTCCCTTGGGTCACATACCTTATTGATAATCGCGAGTCATAAATTTCGGTAGCTGATAGCAATATATATATAGAAAAAAAAGAATCTAAAAAATTGGATAATGATATTATAGTACGGATCATACAATAGCAAGGTGTCAGTGTAAAATTCTAATACGGAATTAGCGAGAGAACCAGTTACAGAAGAGAACTGGCAGAATTGTTTTAACAAAGGCAACGAATTTAATAACACACAACAACGCTAACAATAGCTATGGACATCGTTCGTAAGTCGCCTTTACATCACCTTTCACAATTACGTCATCTTCATGCATAGATATGACATAATCATTTTTACAGGAACAATCGTTCTCATTCAAATTACTGATTTCGTCAGCACTCAGGATTCGACCCCAAACTCGAAGGTTTTCGATGACTCCAGTAAAAGCTGGTGGACTATCAAAACCTCCCGCTCTAGAATCCTGATCTTGGCCAATGACGATTGTTCCATTTCCTGGTATGTCTTGGCTAGAGTCCAATTCTGTAGTTTCTCCCACTACTCCGTTTACGTATAATTTGACGTATGATTCCTGCTTTGATATTATCAAACACAAATGAGTTTTATCAACCGGTGCAATGTGGAATTTTATCCCCGCCTCATGTGCCATAAACAGCCATATACCATGGTTTTGAAATTTTATATAAATGGTGTTGGCTCCTTCCAAAGTCGTGTGGTAGCTAAATAGTGATCCGTCCAGGTGCACTATTGGGGCCACGCGAGCGCATATCGATACTGTGGAAAGATCTGGCAAAGATGACTTCAAAACCACGTAGTCGTGTATGTTATCGTTGTTGGGGAATTCGTATTTCGTTCTCTGCAATACTAAGAATGGATAGAATTTGGTTGTGATTTGTTATCTCTCTGAGAAAGGCAGGTTGATTTTAATAATTTACCTTTTGGTACAGTAGTCTCTGTATGTGGTATTGTGGCGACGGTACTTTGAGTCGAAGTCGTCACTTGATCAGACGTTGTGTGAGTACCGGTACTAGACATTGGTGTGTCAGTACCCGTGCTGGACAAATGCTTTGGCATTGCTGTCATAGATTGAATGTGCTCAAGTTGACGTTCAATGTATTTTGCAACATTTCGCTCCAACTCTGAAATGTAATTTTAGGAGTGTTTCAGCGATTAGGCTACTACTGAAAACACTGAGTTTGCCATAACATGCAGCAAGGATTGCATATCGATACCAAAGTTTTGTTTTTACTTCATACGTCATAGATGTATGGTTGCGTATTTTAATAGCTTTTTGGTACCACCGGCAGCTGTTTGCAGTTGCGGCTGCTCTTTAAATGGTTATACGAGCTTGATGACTGACGACACAACTTTTGTGAGTTGCCTCACAAATGTGCCACGAAATGACAAACATCAATACCCTAGTTCAGGGGTCACCAAACTTTTTTGACCGCGGGCCGGGTATGACTCAAACTGTGTTGAAACGGGCCGGACAAATATTTTTGTCAATGCAATAGGCCTACAATAAATTCACAAAAGTTGGGAAATCCATTCAATTTGTTAACGATATAGATTCTACATCTCCTGAAGACTTGAATATTAAATTCTATCTATATCGCAGAATATAGATCGCAAACATCCTAGGAAAACAAATATATATACAAGATTTTCATATCTTGACAACTATCCTGAGTTTAGCTGTTATCAAAACGTTGCAGTCATGAATTAGGAATGTTACAAAATTCGCCTTTTAGCGCCAAAAAATGTCCGCATCACGTCTGCTAGGTACCGTTACGCCGTGTCGGAATATCGCTCATAACAACGACTACGGACTGCTTGCTGTAGCATAGAATTCCATAAAATTTTGACATAATTTAGATAAAATAAACAACTATTATCTGGCATTTGACTTTTTTCATTAGCGCATAAATTTCCCATCATTCAGAACTTTTAAAAATTCCGCTCAAGTTATACTTAGTGCAAATTAATGGTATTGTCCATAGACACCAATAAAATTTATGTAGACGTGTGTATTTCTTTCCTATCTTGATACTTACCAATTTACCAATGAACCACTGACAAACTAACATGCACAACTTCAGCGTTTATTTGCCACGATCTTTCGGCGGTATAAAACACCATTGCCAGAATAAAATCCTGAAATAGTCTCAATATTCCATAGATGTGACGCAGATCGAAAGATTAGTGATTGATATGTTTTTTTTTCATAATTATTACAGTTCTTATCAAAAAAGTAATACAATCCTTATGAAAAAAATTGGCCTGTCGGGCGGTACTAAAATTCCTATATTTTTTTAACGGTTTTTTTCAAACTTGGTATTATTTTCTTATTTTCACTCAGATCTATCTAATTGTGCAGTTTTCATTTAAATCGGATGACCTTTTAATTTTTTTGTAACATACGTACATGAATATTCGCATTTAAGCAGTACAAAAGTTAGTGTGACTTTTGAAATTGGAGTAGTACGCGAGGGATTACAGTACTGTTAGCGCAAAATGCACATTCGACGTTCATTTTAGCACAAGAAACGTAAACAGTTTCGTCGAAAGCACGCGTCACGAGTGTACGAGTGTAAAAAACGTTGCATACGGACTGGTAGAAAATTTAAACCTATTTTGTCACTGCTATTTCCAGACTAATTTTTCATTACTACTATTAAAACTATAACTCCTAAGAAGGCAAATGATGACTGACTTAATTTGTTTCATGCATACTTAAATTTCCCAAACACAACCTAAAACTAACGAAGTATTGTTTACAACCACGACTGAAAATCTGTCAGGGTGACAAAAGTGTCTGAGCGAATGCGAAAAGGCCTATTATCACGTCACTCTTTTGCATCTTGCTGATTGGCCAATTTTACGAAATAAACAGGGAAGACGATGCTCGGGAAAATTTTCTTTGGAAAAATATTTCGCCCTTTTTGCGTGTTATCGCGGGCCGGATGAAAAATGACGCCGCGGGCCGGATCCGGCCCGCGGGCCGTAGTTTGGTGACCCCTGCCCTAGTTCCTTGATATTTAAGTAGTATAAAGAAACTTACCATCGAGGTGATCCTGTAAAGTGTAAATAGATAACAGTCGCATAAAAACAGATTAATATACATTATATAAAATCAAACATTGAAATACATTTATGACCTATTTATTATTACTTATTTACTGAAAACACGAAATGACCGATTGAAACAGTACCATTCGCGGTATTCCCAATTTCTATCCCCGTGGAACAAATTAGTATATGCAGGGAGGTCGCTAGAAAAACAGAAAGTTTTGTCAAGCAGCTATTTATTTTTACGAGAATAACCTTTACAAAGTTTTTTTTAAAGTCATATATGTTATACAGTACTCTCATATATGCTCGAAATGTCGTTCGTGCACTTCATAGCAGTGTTGTTACCCTTTAGAAGCCCTAGGTCGTGTATCGTTTTGAAGGTCAACTCGTTCCAATTTAACCTGTCGGCTACCTATACGCATTTTATTCTGCTTTTCTAGCGACCATCCTGGCAATTTAGGTTACGGCGTTAGTTATTCTTCCACATTATTTATGAGTATTGCGGCCTGCAAAATGACGATTAAACCTGGACGGGGAAAATTAAAAAAGGATATCGTACTCTAATTACGTTTAATCGCAACTATCAAACCTTGAATTACTAGAAAAGATACCCGTTGAGTTTTGTAAGTGTAATGTGTCACCCAAGTTTAGTCATAAATGCCCATATCGGACCAACACTGGACACTTATCATGCAATCGAATGAGATTCAAAATATGGTCACACTAAGACATGAACGCAAAATAGTGAAACATTGATTCAAAACCGTACTCACGGAATTAAAATAAAATGTTTTGCAAGATTTATCATTCTCATCACATTCGTCATCCGATGAGATAGATATCTCAGGAGCGTTGTGGCCTGTAGTATATATATATCGGTAAAGCAATGTAATGGATAAGAAAAACAAGATTGTGTCGTACCACTGAATTATAAGTTTTTGAAACACTATAAATCGCGATGAAAGTATTGTGCCTTATTCCAGATATAATGTAAACAAATATACCCGTACATATGAGAACATAAAAAAATATTGACTAAATTTACGAATAGTGAATAATTTCTTATCGCTTGAAATCTCGTAAAATGGTGTAAACTGGGATGCACAATAGCGACTAGCATATCAAACATTTTATAATGCAACAAATAGAAAGTATTACCAAGTCCAACTATTCTGTAAAATATACATATATGGAAAATATAACGACGAAATAACGAAATAATCATCAGTAAACACCATATTCGGAAAAATGTAATCTGACTCTAGGCCGATTTGAACACGTTTATTAATGTTGTTTACCTGTTGGTGTTTGGCATTGTTGATCGTTGTAGCTACTTGCACGCTCGACAATCATCAGCAAAACACCGACATAAAAAAGTAAATTCATATATGAAGACCGTATATCATACATTTTTGGCGTATAGTTATCCTTCAAAGTACATTCATTGATATATTGTTCTATGCGGCATGCCTAATGTACATTAAAAGTGAGAAATATAACTGTGAAGATTAAAAAATAGATGTCAATGTCGGCTTTCTTCACGTGGGTAGTGCAGGACAACTACAGGGTTTCGCTCGCAGCTATCTACCCGAATATCTATTTAGAGAAAATCTCTTCACTATCATCATAGAAATGCTTTCAAGAATTTATTTCGCTCAGCACAACCTAGCATAAGTCTTTGAAGATAATCCTAAACCATAGAAAAAAATGGAACTGTCAACTTAGTACTAAAGTATCACAAAACGTTCTGATGATGGTTGGCGCACATAGAACAGTTGAGTCTTAAATTGATTAGGCCCATGCAAATCGCAACACTGTGGAAAGTTGTTAAATTTATTATTCTGCTTCAGTTTTTGCATTCCTCGAAGGACTGAGTCAAATCATTCAGTCAGTTTTCTATTTCCATTCAGTCAGTTATTGTATATCACTTCAATTACTTCCTCCAAATCTAAGAGTCGTCACGTATGTTCTGCTAGCTATAGAAATATCGCGTGACTCTTCTCGGAGGCATTGCTAGTGCATTACATATGCTTCATCGTGATTCAGGTAGACGTAAAATCAAAATATCTTCTGTTTCCCGACTCAGAGTATCAACAAAAATTATGACCCTATAACCAAGATTATCTCATATTTATTCAGTGAAAAATATTGGTTATTGATTGATATCGTGAAGTAAATATTACTCCCACTATTGGTAAGGCCCAGTGCCAAAGTCATTCAAATGAAGTTTAATGCCATATATACATCCCCATTCTTAACCGATTAATTAACATTATGGCATTCCCGTAGTATGTGAACCAAGATGGCGGACACCGGAACGTAGTTTAAATACCCGGTACACATACTACGTTCCGGTGTCCGCCATCTTGGTTCACATACTACGGGAGCGCCAACTTTTTTATAATCAATTAATTTGTCACAAATGATCATCCAGTGCCCCGTAAAATCCATATTCTCAAATTTTTATACCTGGAGCTGGAAGTTCAGCTATAGTTTCAAAAAAGCGAATTATGATTATACTTTCTGCTACTACCCTATACAGTATATCGTCACCGCCACTAATCGCTCAATTTGACGCGGTCTGCCTCTACAGTGTTTCAAAAGCTAACACGGGGACGTTCTTGGCGGGTTGAAACTTCAAAAGTTAAATGCAACAAATGAAACTCTCATAGGTTACTACAACGAATAATTCTCGTGGCACACAATCATAATTTTAAAAATATACACATTTCTTTCAAGCAATTTATTTGCAGAAAGAGAACAGAGTTAACTGATCAGTTAAAAGACAAGTAAGTAACTTCTAGCGGTCCTTTAGTTCTGATCTGTCTAATGTCAGTCAACGGACGTTGTCTATGTTCGAAGGTTGTAAAAAACTTTCCGTTAAGTGTAACGTGATATCCAACGTCATCGACTTTCACCGTCAACTGTTTATGGAAAAATAATAATATATTATCAATACAATCTTAAGTTAGTGAGATAGCTTAGCGTTCTATATGTACATCATAGGCTATACAGAATACATGAGAGTTCGAAACTAAGTCAATTTCTCGGGCGCTCCAGAAGTGTTTGTACCAATATGGAGGTAACTAATCTATCTATTTTACATCAAATTGTGCAAAGGGACTGAAACCTATGGGCAGGGGGATATTCACTTCGCTAACATAGACAGTCAACGAACTTGTAATAGAACTTGTACATACACTACGGGATTACCATTCTTCACCAACTGTTCAACGAGTAGGCCAGGCTTTGTAGGACAATGCGATTCTGGTATATCCCGACCCAGCAACAAAATCTAAATCAGTGTTTTTCAAGTTTTGGCAGAGTGCCATCCAATGTAACATTCCAGAGGCTCGAGGAACCCCTGTGCGAGAGTTCACTTACGTTTTGTTTTTTTTAAAACAAGAGAGCTATGCTTAAATATATGGACACGTAGTGCCACATAATTTTAATGACGTCATAGCAAAAAATCAAAGTAATACCCTTCTGGAGGAAAATTCCATATTTAACCACTGAGAGTTTCAAAGCAATTGGTCCAGTAATCAAAAAGGAAAGCGATTTATTAAAAACGATAAAAAAGAACAACAAAACGATCGTTATGTCCACTACGTGTCCGAAAATTAAATAAATTCTAATTATATACAAAAACAGACCCAATACTGACAAAACAAAATTTTATTCGAATTGTAGAAAGTTTAATATCAGTGGTAAATTATTAGGTACCGGTAATTAATTTTAGTTGAACAATATACATATATTAATATAGATCAGTGTTTCCCAACCAGAGTCCGCGGTCTCAAATGAGTCCGCGGAGCGTTCGAATGAGTCCGCACGTGCCAGAAATTACTTATCAGCCAAGTTACGATTTACGTTAGAATTTACAAAAAACATAAAATGAAGTTTATTCACATAACATTAATCGAGTCAATAATTACTGGTTACTGAGTAGGGCTGGGTATATATTTGAATATTCAACTATTAGAATAGCGATTTACTTTCGAATCTTTAGTAACAGGTGACGCGACGGGTCACTTGCGCGTCGCCTAATCAAACAATTGTATTTCACAACTCACTTGCGGATTTCCGACGGCACACGTGTCGATAGATACCTAAGTGTTGTTTCTCGCGAATTCGAACAACGAAAAATAAATATTTTTCTGTGGTGGGTGTCAATGGTGGTAACCCAAATTTTTTAAATTGAAAAGCGGCAATACAAAATACTAATAATAAAACGAGAACGCCATGAGTTTTGTTTTATGAATGCCCGCGACCGATTGAAAACGGGTTTTTAGACATGCAAATCGCAAAATTTCGGGTGCTACGTACTGTACGAACCAGGGCATTTTCCCATATATACCATTCTTTTCTTTCTACCTCCGTACGTACAGTACTAGAGCGCCGTAAGTGTTGTACGAACAGCTCAGATTTATCGAATCCCTTAAAATACGAATCAGAAGAAAATATAATCGGGCACTTTACCACGCATTTTTGTGTCTACGGAATGTGATTATTTTCTGAGTAGTATTGCTTTTATTTCGTTATAACAACCTCAAATTTAAATGATCACAATTGAATCAATAACAAGCAAGGCGATGAATATGTATTTTTGATTTACTAATATCATTTGAATATATTCTTAATAAATACTAAATCAAGCTGTACTTTCTGGAAATGTATAGCAGATGCTTTCATCTTGTCGTAAGTCGACACCACCGCGAGTTGAACACTTTAAATTAAAATGGAAATAATTTGAAATTCTCGTCGTTATCATGTATTGAATATTGTGCGACAGTAAAGGCCATTATACACTAAAAAAGTCGGCTATTTTAACGATCGCGTAATTGCGGCGAATTTCCGATTTTGAAATTCGTTAAAATTCTGTTGTGTTAGGTTTCATTGCTTCTTCGCACAAAGTACGGTTGCAATAAACGCACCTTGAGTCCGCAAAGGTTTTCGCCGGTGAGAAAATAGTCCACGACCAAAAAAGGTTGGGAAACGCTGATATAGATACTCTTGAATCTAATTTGCGAAACCCCTGGATTGTATTGGCGGAACAGTAGGGTTCCACGGAACCGCGGTTGAAATTGATTTTGAAATAATGTAGTCACAAATCGATTTTGTTGTTGGAAGCGTATTATACTAAATGGGGAAAGAGACGAATACTAAATAAATTTTGCAATAAACCTAATGGAATTAATATATATATATATAATTATAAATAAATATTTTGCAATTGAAGATTTGAACAAAACTAATTAAATCTACAAGCTATCAATTTTCAAAGCGTATTCAAAGATTTATTCCAGCTTCCCATCGCTGATAATCTCAGCAACTTTGGTTGACTTCACATGTTTTAGCTATGCTATGCACAAAATATAACACAAGGCATGAATATCATGATGTTGTTACTCTTTGACATACGCACCGTAAATTCTATGTCATATTTCAATTGGAAGTCCGAACTCATTGGTATTGTTTCTCCTCCCTGCCGCCATTCAGTTGTGAAATCATTTAGTACGAAACTGTTTCCCGACATTTCAGGCACGAAGTGAAAATAAATTTTGGGATCAGGTCCATCAAAATTGACCGAAAATCTAAAATACAGATTTCTTTTTATACAAAACTTTTCTACCTCCATTCTGTTAGGTAATCAGTACCCCGAAGACAACAAAATGGACTTGTTAAAAAAAAAACGAAATATGATTGATATGTTCAACTTTGAGCTGTAAAAATTGTGCTTCATACATAATGTACACACAACTGACAAAATGTAAGAAAAAGGTATGCTACGTCAGGGCTTTCCAACGTGATCCAGATTGACCCCCAGGGCATTTTATTATAGAATTGAAATCATAAATTTATTTTAAGAAAACTTTTTGTTTTGGGCATCAGTACTAGGAAACCAGCGGGCAGCTGGTTGACAAAACTGGCCCAATCTATGCGAGTTTTCCTAGAGCTCTGAATTAAAAAGGGAAATAATAAAATAATTAAATGAACCTATCATGGCTACACTAATTTAAGTGCTTTCATTATAGAATATTTAAAATTGGAATCGAAATGAAAATGCAAACTTAGTACCAGGGCAAAATGAAACGCTCAAACTCGACAAGCAAGACCCACAGGCATATTTTGCTGGCAGTCCAGTAAAATTGAATAGTTTTGTTAAGACAACAAGTGATTTAACTTGGTTCTCTCCAATAAAAACTTGGTGGTCCATACGACTTAGACTATGGCGTAGTTTCTCTTCACAAAGATTTTCCTAAACAGTTCCTGTTAATCGCCTTTCACTAGTAATTTTTGATGATTGATACATTTTATGCGAGTATTTGCTTAATGCAATGTCAGGTAAGACAAATCAGAAGAGAAGGATTCACACGCATTGACGTGTCTAGAGGAATACCAGGGGAGCATATAACTTATTTATCTCCCAAATTAAATTTGAAGTTAGGTATAAGGGCAGCATTATCGGAAACTCGGCCCTGGCTGCAGAAAAGTTTGACACTCCACTGCTCACACGTCACACCAAATAAAAGCGTCACGCGACCACAGAATTTACCTGTTGAACGTATCTCGGTTTCTTGGAATTCCTTTCAATATCAGAGTTCTGCCTTCCACACTGTTTTTTGGAACTGCCATAAAGATCTCCTCTTGATTGAACTAAAGAATTGGATTCATAAAAATGAACATAACACTTACCGAACGTGTACGACAATGCAATGCTTTTTGTTTTGATTCTGAGTGCGATAGTGAGGCTTTCAAAAAAGTCATATTTTTATATTGGATACAAATTTTTATAAAAAGTCAATTATTGTCTTAAGTATATGGCGCCTTGTTAGATTACCGGTACAAGCCCGGCTCGGGAATCACCAATTAATTAGCTTGTTTTCGCAGATACAGACGGGGTTTGTTAGCAGTCAAAAAAAAAAATTCATCTTGGATGTGTACAATTAAAAATACAAATGAGCAAAGCAACGATCAAATATATATATATATGAACACGAAAGTTAATCAATAACTTATCGCAGTACCTCACATAAGCGATTCACACGGAAATGTGTACTCAATTCGCAAAATCAAGAGTATCCGGGCGGAAGGCGGTAACGCATGGCGAAATAAGGGACAATGTTCACATGACTTAAAATGAAACAGTGAAAATTTGGGTGATATAACGGATCTCATAGAACTCCCAGGACATTTAAAAAAGATAAAAGTAATAGCCTTCTGAAAACTACTCCCATTTATAGCTACTGAAACTATTAAATCGCTTGGTCCTCTAGTTACGGAGAAAGTATTTATTTGAGCACCAACAACTTCGTCCGAACAGCAACAACAATGATTCAACAATAAGATACATATTGCCACGTCCTGCGCAATACTCGTTTGAAAGCAAAAATCTTACCCCTGGGTTTACAATAGGCGGCACATATGAGCAGTTCGCAAGTATCATGATGGTTTTATCTTCTACTGTTCTCGGATAGATTGGAACTCTTTCGAATCGTTCATTCGCTGTTTCTCTGTCAATATACTCGGCACAACTTTTGGGAAATGAGAAGTATAGTTCTGCAAAAATTAAAACAAGGCTATGAAATAAAGAAATATATATATATATCTTTATGAACCTAATTGAGAAGACCAGAAACTTTCAATCGCAACAACAGTTTCTTATACAGCCTTTCTTTAAAGATACCATGTTTATACTGAGTGTAAAAAGATAAGATAAGATCTCCGAATAACAGGATAATCTGGAGGTATGTAAAGCATACAAAAATATAAATTTATTTCACAAACATAAATTGGCGCTCTAGAAGTGTGGGTATCAATATGGAGGTGACTAATTCCGTTTGCATTATTTTCATGAAGTTGTGTAAAGGGACTGAAACATATGGGCAGGGGTTATATTCACTTGGTTAACAGTAACACAGACAGGCCCTGAACTCGTGATAGAACTAAATAGAAAATCAGAATAAAATTATGGCCTAACCTGGTACACACACTACGGGAGTACCAATAAATTAATATGATTAAAATAAATTTACGTTTCAAGTTACTATACAAACCTTTGAAGTCATCTAACGCTCCTTGTGGCAGTGAATCACAAGTTATAGTCGTTGTACAGCCGTGTGTTGTCTGCGAATAACTTTTTTTTTGGTGGGATAAGCAAACTCCAAAGGCAAACACAAAACAAAGCAATTTGAATAACATGTTTTTTTTTATCAAGTCGTATTGGTTAAAGAAATTAAAACTGCCAAATAATAACATTTGTATTTTATAACCATCCGGGTCGGATGACACATTACACAGGTAATGCAAAATCAATATCAAGGATGGATGTTTGATAATACAATCCGCATATATATGTTGCCATCGTATTCATGATTAAGTTGGCCATTCAAAACTTACGAATTCTTTCTCCAAGTTGAAACCTCATTCTGAGTAAGTATATTTTCTTTTGCTGGTAACAAAACCGAAAAGATAGAATATTTCAAACATATACAGGCCAAGATAAGCAGAATAATTTCTGCTCACTACTTGAATCTGAAACGCATAGCGAAACTAACCAGGCCATTACTATACACTCGCGGCATTATGTTTTCATTTTTACATACGCCTCACGTTTTCACGCCAAATGAATACTTTTTGGCTTCTAAGCGATATTGTTCAAATTTTCCTGTCACTCGGGGTCTTTATATCTCATGGAGCGAATGTCATGAATAGCCCACGGGAAAACAAAAAAATGGAGGCGTGGGATAATACATCAAAAAATGACATACAAGATGAGATGAATATTTTGATTATAATAACCGCTATTGTGCAAAAAAAAAAAAACATGTTCCGGTATAACATTACTTATTCATATACAGTTGAGATAAATTTGAATACTAATAAACAACTTTTCACGTGAATAAATGACGGCAATGCATGGCCATCTTTGAAGATGAAAATCTGAAACGTCGGCAAATTTCACTTTTCTGTGAATGTCACGATCCAACCAACGGGGAATCACGCCGTGGATATGTTAAGCCGTCCACAATCTTATCACCTCCCCCGTAAAACGCTGTAATTCATAAACAAACGTGGGCGTAGGACATAAACCTGCAAATTTTTCCGTATTTTTACAAATAAAAAATAAAGTAAAAGGTAAAATATTCGTTTTAAAAAAATAAAAATGAAGTGAAACGTGTTATTAATATTTGCTAAATTAAAAAAAAAAATGCACCGTAATGAACCGACTTGCCTTTCTCGTCCATAGAAATGTTTTACCCGAAATTTGACTTCATTGTTCACTGCCATAACAGTCACAAATCAGCAATATGTCAGCGGCGACGTAAAATTTTTATCAGCCGCAGCCTTTGTTATTCATTTCGTCTTCCGGGGAGTTTCAGTTTGTTTAAAGTAATCAAAAATCATGAGTCCTGCTGTGACGGACTAGGTTGCAAATAGGTATATTTTGAATCAAAATGATGGTCACAAAACATGTGAAAGCAATCTGTAAGCGACAAGTTACGAAACTATCTTCAATGCAAATTAGTGAAAGTGAAGTATATGGGAAAAAAATTTCTGGGACTAAGAGTTGGCTCTATTTTATTTTTATTAAGTTAATATATATTATAGTTTATCCAAGAATATGACATCATCGCATCTGCATTACCTTTTCAGGAACAAGTTCTTACTCCTCGATTGCAATATCACAAACCCTGAAAGCGCTCAGTAAAAATATTCTTGATTTTGTTGCCGTTATAATTATCTACCCACGTGCATGAAGAGAATTTGTCATTTTACCTAAAGTGAACGTTTTGTTTAACACTGTCACTTATGTCGGATCAGAGATATCATTTTAAATATAGAAACTCATCTCATTTCTTGGTGAGGATTATGAAAAACTATTTTAACTAATGCAGGCGTTGAGCATGAAACCAAACCGCATACACCATGTATTATTTTCTACAAAAAATAAGTAAAATAGTCAATTCGAATATATCAACAGGTAAAAGAAGTACGTAAGCGCCAAGTCGCGAAACTACCTTCAATTCAATTTTAATGCAAAGAAAAGGAAGTTATAGTTTCCTGAGATCAAGGGTCGGAGAAACCAAACGTTAAGACAAGTACTGTATAATATTATTTATCCGATGACATGACATCATTGACTGTATTATTTCTCGAGGAAGAAATTCGTGCTCCTCGATTAGGTAAATGTTCTTGTGCCTTAATAATTATCTATCCATGTACATAAAAACAACTTATTATTCTATCTGGTGTGAATGTCTGTTTTGATTCTGATATCATCATTACACAAGCTTTTCTTGTTCCTTGGTAAAGATTATTAAGAAGTACTTAGTAAGCCAATGAAATACCTGGCCTAGGGCTGCCGACTTATAAATCAACAAAGCACTCGTTTCACAAGTTGTCGAAGCTGCATATAATGCTGACGCAATTGGCCCACAGAATTAATGAATCGACTGAAAATTGAAAAAAAAAATGGTAAAACGTATGGGCTTGCATGTCTGTTCAGGAATAGGAAATTCATTTGATTTCCTCATTACGAAATTTCCTTCATTTTGGACGATTTGCCTTGTAGGTTAAATTGCATTTTTGCGTGCCTTTTGTCTCATTGGTTAAAAGTATGTTAATGTGCTTAACTCAAAATGATATTTATTAATTCGTTTATTACGCCAGGCAGTTAGGTCAAAAACGCAAAATATAAAAGCAGAGATATGCAATATCCGAAATAATACACAAAAAACTAAAATAAAAATTATAGTAAAACAAATTACTTTTAATCGTGTAAAATTTCAATTTTACAATTATTAAACAAAATTCACTCACACGATAGAGTTTTTCCTTGAAACTTGCCGACTTAAAAATTTTGCTTACTTGTTGAAAAGAGACTATAAATTGATCAGCGTATCAGCTTTGTAAGAAACAATTTCATAACAACTTTAGGCATGCATCCACAATTGCTTAAGGAAAGGCAGTTTAGTGAAATATCTAGGTAGCTTTACTCCAAGTTACCATTATATTGATTCTTATGCGAAAAGTAATCCATGAAATCAATGGCAAAAAAACTAACAATGATGCTTACTGAGAAAGTAATCCTGGCATTACCAGACAAAGATTACGTACATGTTCACTCACTACTTCTCCCTACGGACTGTTCCAGTTAACCACAAGCCCACAATACTGGTCAATTTAATGATGTCACAATATGTCCAATTTTTCTGGTTATTTTCGTGACAAAACAACACCAAATAAGATTGTTAACAATATGTTCGCAAACGTGACGCGAGTTAAAGACAATGACTTAATGATTGGACCACCTTTAAGGACAATTATGCTTGGCTTCATTTTCAAAATATCCCATCAATAAAACAACACAATTTTGAAAATTGCATTGCATTGCAATTGAATATGTGACGAGTAGCCTAACCAACAGGTTGACGTTTTTCGTACCTGAACTTGGTTCATACCCTGACGAGAGGCGTAGTTCGCCATATCATTTCAATTGTAAAAACTGGTCAAATGACATAATCGCAAACCGTAAAAGCATTGACGAACTTACCGAAAATTATTCGGTACAACGCCGAAAGATCGCAGGAACTCAAAACAATTCTATATCAGGAGAGACAACTCGTAGATACTTATTTTGGGTATTGTGTGCCTTAGCTGGGAGTCGAACCCAGATCTTTGCCGTGCATGGATATGGCAAATCATACTAAACGCGTTATGCGTCCATTCTCTACTAATTAGCGTTTGTTGTATTGATTGGGTTTTTAGATCCGAGGACGCACGGCGTCGATGGTGTAACGGTTAGCATTGTCGCCTTCCAAACAATAGTTACGGGTTCGACTCCCGGTCGACGCAGGTATGCTTTTTTTCTGCAAAAACAAACGCGTCCAACTTTGTTAACTCCAAATCAAGTGTTTATAGGCCACAGTGTTCATATTGCTGAATGATTGTTTGTTTACATTTCAGGCTATTACCCTATTTATTACCATTACCTCTTCTGATTTTATAATCAGTTTTTATTTGTTTATTTTCATTAATTATTTTATCGTCTGTTATGGTGTCAAAATAACTTTCATCTTTCACTGGAAATTTCCATAGACGAGTTTTTGATAGTGCCTCAATGCTTAATGAAATGATTGGGTAGACCAGTGGTTCCCAACCTTGATGGCTCGTGGCTCCCTTCCGGCGCCTTTTGGTACTCGTGGCCCCCCTGTTCGCCATTCAAAAAACTAAACGTGTTGGATTGTATTATGTATGTTTTTGCAAACTATTATGGAGTGCAAAAGCAAACCACAGACAAGAAAGTCAAAGCTTCTTAGTATACAATCAAAAGGAATCTTGCGCTTAGGACTGTTTGACGAGATTTCTTATATTAAGAGCCGTCTTTTATATAGCTAGACGAACGTCACTGTCAACATCAAGACGGTTTCTAGATTTTGTTTTGATGGTAATAAGATCAGGAGAACCGGAACCAGACTTTTCCTCCAACAGAAACCCGAACTTGGCCAATGTTGCTTTCTAGTCATACCTAGGGATTTGTTCAAAACGAATTGAAATCAAGTTTTTTTTTGCCTGTTTTGTTCAAAATGGATGTAGGCCTACTATTTGATTTTTTTGTATTAAATAGGTTGAAGGAAAATGGATGTAAAACCTTCTTCTTCTTCGCCAAGCGCTTCTTATTTGCAATAAATCTCTCAAAACGCCACAAATATCGATAGAGGCTAATACAAACTTTCTCAAGCTGTAGTTCAGTGGTTGGCGCAGTAAGACGCAACCGATAAGCCATTACGTGAACGACCCTGCTGCGATGAAACCACCTTGCGAAAATTGAAATGCGATCAAATAAATGAGTTTGTATAACCTTAAAAAACTCACTTCAGCCTTGAACAACAAAGTACGCTGAGTATAAATTAACCGACCAGTATTAACCGTAACAATGACTTCATTTTATGAGAAAAATGTCAATACATGACCTCGAAATCCATATTATGGCGTCATAACAGATTAGTTGTGGCGTCTTTGCATCAGAAGACTCTTACAATTAACATAGGCTAGGTTAGGGTGACTCATAGTTCATATCTGTAGATTACCGCCGATATAAGCAAATTCTTCATTATCGCAACTCACTCGTTTTGCCGAAGGGCTGTACTTGATCGAATTGCTTTTGTAGTACGCTCGTGAGCTAATTTTCATGATTTTTCTTACTCAAAACGTCGCTCTGATATCTCGGCTAAACATTGCGGGTAAAATCT